GTGATAGACTGGTGACCTGTCCAGGGTGTCCCCTGCCTTCGCCCTAAGTCGGCTCGGATAGACTCCAGCCCTCCCGCGACCCTAGTGAGGATTAAGCGGTATATAGATAATGGATGGATGGATTTTATTTTATTGTTATTATTTTGATTGTTATAATCGCACAAAATCTGGTCTGACCCTCAGTTATTGTGTGGAACCTTCACTGGGGGGTCCCAGTACCCCACATATGCTTTTGGCTGTCCACCCTGTCTTATAAATGGGTTTTTCCCTCCTTACCTCTCCCCTTTTGTTCATGTATTCTGTGGGAGAGGTAGGCGAGACTGTGCCGCTGTAGTCTGTGTGTTCTAATTTACTTAATTCCACCTATAAGTTTACTTTCCCAGTTCTAATATGTTTGTGTATTATTTCATTTCTGTAGGGGTACAAGTCTTGGGAACTGACAGCGGATTTGGGGTGTTTTTTTGTCGTCTGTTAAGTTGAAATAAACAGAGATCTCCTCCAAAAAGATCCATGCTTCGGCTGACAGCAGTAGAGAATCCACTGGTTACTCTCATTTTGTGTACCAGCTGTAATTAGTCCCATTATTAAATTTTTGTTTAAGAATAATAGTCATGCAAATAACTGTGATGAACGATTTTCTTGTCTTTTTCTGTTCACATTCATTAGTTTTAGATTTATGGTATTAACATCACTGTCCACTACCGTTATGCTGAAGTTTTTCTTGACGGCCTCCTTTGTTTATCTGGCTTTAGATGAAAGTATGTACAGCAACTAAATTAAGTGTCTTAATGTCAGTAGATGCTGACTGAAATGCAGTGGCTCAAATATTACAAGTTAAGTGCCTCAGGATGAACAGTTTGTACTAATAAACCAAGCAGAGGCAGGGCCGCTACAACACGGTGAAATGAAAATGAACCTTTTTGTCAGTTTCAATCCAGATGTTTTTATACAAGTGAACAAACGACTCTAACATTATGTAAAATGAGGGCGTCAACAGGCCTCTCTGTGGTGAAAGGTCCCATGTAACTGAGCCTTTTTCACTGCCTGTGCCGTACCTGTCCTCCAGAACTGAATCCATCGGTTCAACCCCTGTCGTGTCAACAACATGAAGCTGATCTGCAAACCGTATGGCTTTCTCCAAACACTCCAGCCCCTGCTTGGTGCGGAAGTCAACCAAGGCCAGTCTCTCCAGTTTGTCCACCAGGTCTGCAGGGATCTGGGCAGGCTGTAATATCAAAGGTGCATCACTTAGACATGCATGTGCGACAGAATGCCTTGTGTGGTCCTTCACTTTCATACAGTTTTCATCCAGCCTCTGATATAACAACAGCATTACAGAATTCCTAAAATTCAATTTGTTTTTTGGTTTTGGACATTCTGTGGCCTCATCTTGCCACCTGTATGACATACTTCTGGAGGCGTCCCAGGACACATATCAGGTTGTAAACAGTCTCTCAGTGTATAATAACAGAGTAGTCTATTTGTTATAACGTTTCATGTAATCCAGTGCCACTCCTATCAAATACTCTCTGGAGATGCCACCATATCTAACAAGACATCCAGGTATTAGGACACTGTGTTTCTATCCAGCCAGCTCTGAGGATGTTACCGGGGGAAGCTGGTCCTCTGGTACTGCCTCCCATGTTGGCTGCTGTGGTACCTGCAGGAGACAAACTCAGGTCACCTCAGTGAGCTGTACCGGCTCCTGATACATCAGACACCAATATATTTAACTTACCTTCGGGTGATGTGGTTGTGAGCTGTACAGACGCCTTACATTAAGAATGCAGCAGCTCCTCCTGTGAAACTTCTTCTCCACGTTTGTTGCTGAATGTCCGTCATTTGATAACAGTTTACATGTGGACCGAATGATCTTCGGTGACACACCACAGGAGGTGCGTGAGACAGCGAGGCTAAACGCAGACATTCCCAACACAGTTAAATAGCCAGCTATGATAAAGGTGTAGAAAAAGAGTCACATTTTGTGAGTCTTCTCGCTCCCGGAAGGTCAGCTCAGGGCTAAACTAGCATCACACGGCTAACAGGAGTTAGCTCAGAGGAGGAGCAAGAGGCTCAACCGTAACGCACTTCCGTGTTCGCTCATCTCCAGACAGACAACGAACTAATTCGCTTTATTTAAAATACATTCACATTATTTTAAAGTGTAATGCACATTGTTACATATTTTAACATTTTAAGCAGCAAGTGGGGAAGTCTGACATATTTGAAAGACGCTATTAATGTTGTAAAAACGTGATATTGTAGACTGCTGCCTTTGGCGCAGGCGCACTGCCGTTAATAACGCACCAACTTTTTTTTGCTAACGGTAGCCTAATTAGCCGGCTTAAAGTAGCGCTATATGTAGCAACGTGAAAATCAGGCTGCATGAATTCATAACGTGATTTTCATAGCTGATAACGACTCAACATGATTTCTGAGAGCCCGGATAGCTCAGTCGGTAGAGCATCAGACTTTTAATCTGAGGGTCCAGGGTTCAAGTCCCTGTTCGGGCGAACGCTGTTTTGATGTCGGACCCACTAGCAGCGCTTCACACATTAGCTTATTATTATTAGCTAAATGCTAACCACAACAAGAGTGATCTTGATGACACCGTAACATCTTTGTTTGGCTTGTTAGCATAAGAGTTGACACCAAACACCGACTACAGCTGACTCTAATACTAGTGTCATTAGTAGAACTCCAGCCAAAGCAGCCTGATCTGATGATGGCGCTAACTACATGCAAAATGGAGGATGTCTATAGTTAATACAGTTCATGTTGACTTGAATGTTTGCACCAAATCTAGACACAGTAACTTAGTCCTAGATAGATTTCCTAATTAAAGTGAATTGATTTGAAAGGGTGCCACACCTGTAAAGAGGCTACTTCCCCAAACAGAAGACACAACAAAGGACAGAAAAATGAAATCTAACTACATGGATGTGGACTCAGCAGGGATAATGTGAGAGAGGCTGAACAACAGGATGATAGATAATTAAAAATAACACAGACAGCCTTCCTGAACTGTATTTCACTTTGTTTTGAATGGTCATACCTGATGCCTGAATTATGTGTTTTGTTTTATATAATTACGCACATTTGATGCAGAGAGAAAAAAAACACAAATTGGTGCTTAAAGTTCATCAGAAAACACAAAACAAAGTGTTTGATGGTTGAAGTTTCCTGTTGGAGGAATGAAATCTGAAGACACTCCATCCAAAACCACAAATGTCTGCCTCATGAATTCTAGAAAAGTCCAGGAATGTATATAATGTCATGGCAGTTCATCATGAGCAAAGTGGTAGCTCAACAGTACTTCACATAAAAAATCTATTAAAAGTGGTGAACTAGTTTGCAGCTTCTCTAAAACTAATTCATGCACTGATATCTAACTTTTGATCGTGAGCCTCACAGCCTGAATAAATGAAATAAAACACACAACACAATACGTTTTGGAAAAATAATGATTCCATTTTTATTTTTTATTATAAGAACATATACCATTTAATATATTTAATATATATTTATATGAACTATTAGTATAGAATTTGATTGTTTTACAATACACATTTAGAACTGGCCACAAAATAAAAATATCAGCTTTACAAACAAAGCGGCATCCCAATGAGAAAATGGATGAATGAATGAATGAATGAATGAATAAATAAATAAATAAATACTTTGGCATGTAAATGTCACAATAAATTAAAACTTTTTTTGTTTTGTTTTGTTTCGTTTCAACAGCATTCACAAAGTAAACACCAATATTAAATGCAACTGATCTTACCACAGTCATGGAACAACACTTGAAGGACAACTGACTGTTAGTTTTTAGGATGATGAGTGACGAGAGTGTTGAGGATAAAAAGCATCTCGCGTGTTCTCACAAACCCCAAATCTGCCTAAAACATCAAAACAGCTCGCCTCAAAAAATGCGTAATTTGCAATTAATTTGGAGAATTGGTCAAACCGAACATTTCATTTCCGTCTCTCTGCTTAAAACACACGTTAAAGAATCTGAATCAACTTTCCATCTGGTCACGTCCCCCTTTTTTCATAGTCGAGCAGAAATGAACATCTGATTCAAGAAACGGGCACCAGACAACACAAGACGATACAAAAATCAAGGTGAGTACTCTGCACAATTTACAAAATATACAATGGTTCACTGGATAATGAAAAATAACTGAGGAGGATTATCAAATCAGGCTTGTTTCTTCATACAAATCTCTGCGCAGACATCCATAAGTCACTTAAATATCAGATTATGGTTATACGAGTGTTAACATAATTCAGTTCTCATAATTTAAACACGTTTTGCTCTCGGTACACTACAGTTCACACGTAACAAATAAAGACATACTATTCGGCAGACGAGGCAGTTCAAGAACATCAAAAACACTGTTGGATGCTAAATCAATGACATGGCGCTGAAAAAGCTAAATCATTCTGTGTGTTAAACATAAGTGGACTTTGGGCTACATTTTGGGCTACCAGCCAGCGCTCTGAATCGTGGAAATTAATTAGTTTTCAGGGTGTAAAGAATATTAAAAATCTGCAGACATTCTTTCTTTCATTACGGGAATACGAGGATAACGTGCTGATATAGTTCTCTTCTTATCTTGTAGGCTATTAAAATAATTAATATAAACTATTATCACAATGTATTTTTCTCATAAATATAGTCTCTGGTTGAGTTCAGCTCTGCATTTTGGTTTGAAAGGCGCAACTAAAGCCATCTTTATCTCAAAATATTAAGTGCACTCGGATTGAGGGATTTCTGAGGAGAAAAAAAAACATATTTAGAAATGAAAGAAACAGTTTTTCAGTTACATTTGTTTTTCACTTAAACATACCGACAAACATCAAGCATAATATTCTCACACACCTGCTGACTACACAGATAACATAGTGGATACAGTCGATAAGGCTCATAGCAGCAAACTGTGATTGTAAAGGCTTCGTGTCGTGTGTGTGTGTTTCTGTGTTCGCTCGTGCGTCTTCGCTCTGGTGCTGCTACAGCCGCTCACACTTTTAGTTGGAAGGAAAAAAAGAAGACAACAATCACTTGTTCTCTATCAGCATCTGCACTTTGCACACCAGATCTCTGGCCAGAGTCAGAATCTGCTTGATGTTGTGGTGCTCGGCCATTTCTGAAAGACAAGTAAAAACAAAACATTGAAGGTTAATCTTTCCACTAGTGCAAGAATGACAGACAGAAAGCAGAATGTGTTTTCTTAAATGTGTGGGACGCTTCTTAAACCTGCTGATGGCAGCAAGTAGCCAGGCATTGTATTTATTTGCTGTCATTTATTGTTCTATTTATTATTTATTCTCTCCATGGCGACCTGTGTGTTTGCAGCTTTTGTCCTTACAGGTCTATTGATTGTCACTGACAGAGTGCCTGAATGTCTATGTTTGTGATTGTTGTTTTTTTATGGTACCCGTCTGGTAATCCTTCGGGGATAAATAAAGTTGTCTGAGACTCTTGAACAGAGGAGCCTGACTGAGCTGATGGCCCTACCACTCTGTAAATATCTGCTGTATGTGGAAAAACTTCAAATACTTATCGTTCATTTGAGCTTGCCCGAGTTTTCATTCTCATATTTAGCTTTGTGTTTAGTTTTAGCTCAGCGACAGAGATCAAGTCATGTTGTAATTAAAAGTTTCGTGGATGCGACGAATCACTCTAAGGTCACGTTGGCAAACCAGTTATATCAGTGAGCGACTGTGAATAAATGCACCACACAGCTGATAATCAAATCAAAAGCTCCTTAATTTAAAGCAGACAAGGGTGCATGCTCCAACACTTCAGAGCCCTGAGCTGTTTTTGGAAATTTCCACCTGAAAAATCATCAGGAACAGCTGCAGAACTGTGAGGACAAACTGAGCGGCCTTGGCCTCGACAGATAAGAGACATCGGAGGGGAATTTTCAAATACAATAAGTCTCATTATTCTTATCACCAGCCAGCGTGAGAGAGTTGAAAAACTCCAGCAAAAACTGACATTTTCCCTTCCGTCTAATCAAAAATGTAGAAGCAGAGAGTAAATAAACGAGTTGTTGACAAGAAGTCTCAACTGCAACTCTGCCAAACAGAAATGAAGCGATTCACACGTTGATTTTACTCATAGTAGTGCTGTACAGCGTCTTCAGTGAATGTGTTACAACCTTAAAAAAAAAAAAAAAAAAGGTGCCGATTGTGTGTTTTGGCAACAGATGGTCTCGGTAGACGGACCTCCAGGGTGGAAGAGGTAAATAAATTCACAAAGCTGTTCACACAAACACTCTTTGCTCCTACATGAACTTCAACAAGCACAGGAGAGCTTATTGAACAGGTTAAAACTGGCAGTGAATCAGTCATTAATATATTTGTTATATATTTGCTTTTTTTGTAATAACACTTCCACCCACTGTTAGTCTTCACATGTAGTTTATTTAAATCGTAATATGTATGTGATCTGTTAAATTGGGCTGCTGCTTGTCCTGGCCAGAAGGCTTTTGTAAAAGAGATTCCTAATCTCAGCGAGACTTTTATGAGTTAAATAAAGATTAAATAAAAATAAAATAAGCCATTTCATAATCAGTAATGCTTGCTTGACACTGTTTTACACTCCAGGTCACTGTGGTTATACGAGGTGTGTCAGAAAAGTTTCAGGACTGGTGTCACAAAAGACATAAGAGTTCATTTGCAAAAACAGATAACTACACTTTTGTACACTTTGAGAAAACTTTTTTGTTGTTGTTGTTTGCTTGAGATAATATCAATCAAACTGAAGTTGAGCGGATTTGACTCAGTAGAAATGACAAAAATAGAGATAACTTGAGTTTGATTGATATTGTCTCAGATAGACGATGGAAAAGTGGGTTTTCTGAAGGTTTGTGAAGCTGGAGTTATCTGTTTTTGCAAATGAACTCTTCATATTTCAAATCCAAACTACAAGTTTTCCCCTTTGAAGTAATCCCCCTGGAGTCTAACCCACTTTCCCAGCCTTCTCTGCCACGCCACCATGCACTCCTGGAAAGATTCTTCAATGATCCTCCTCAGCTCCGTTGTCACAGCCATCTTGATGTCATCCACATGTTCAAAACGGGTCCCCTGGATGACCCCTTTGAGCTTGAGGAAGAGGGAAAAATCCCACAGAGCCAGGTGGGGCGAGTAGGGAGGTTGCTCCAGCACAGTGATGTTCTTCTCAGCCAGGAACTGTGGGATGCTCAGGGCATTGTGAGCAGGAACGTTGTCATGTATCCACAACTTGTCCTGCCACATCTCTCGCCTCTTCTGAATTGAACGAAGCAAACAGGATCTCTTTGTAGACGTGCTGGTTGATTGTCTGAAGGGGAAAACTGGTAGTTTGTAGTTTGGGTTTGAAATATATCTTATGTGACACCAGTCCTGGAAATTTTCTGACACACCTCGTATGTTATTGCTCTTCCATAAAGTTGCAGCCTTGTTCCCGAACTCTGAAGATTCATCTCAGAGGCTCCTCAATGAACACAACTTCCAGCAGGACAACAAGGTGGTGTTTGTGGAAAAGGCACCACCACTGTAATCCTGAGGCCAAGGAAACCTAACCCATGAACATCCCTCCCTACTGGAACCAAAAGCCTCTGTACTCCTTCAGGTCTGCAGCAGCAAGAGGAAAAGAAGCCATAACCAGCATCTCTCCTTGCCAGCGTTCCAACAGGAAAGTTGTGGCACATCTTGTTCTTGGTCTCAAAAAACATTGATAAGAAGATAAGCGTCCTTCAGATGACACTTTAGTTTGCAGTATGTGTTGTTTGTTGCTGTGTCACAGTAGTAAATAAGAACATCATTTTCTAGTTACCTCTTCAAACAACCAACAAATCGGTTGCTGTTTAAACTCCAAGTGACAGTGACAGGACAAATCTGCACTCTGGCGCTCACCAGTTTGAGTGAAATTACTCTCCTCTGAACAGAAAAGAGCAAAAAACCTCAGACTGAATGATTATGTAAAATAAGCCAGTGTGATTTTTTTTTTTCAGATTTGGCTACCAAAGTTGGGACAAATCCAGGCTGCAAAATCGTTCTTTTTTATTTTTTAAATTACTAAATTGGTGTAGCGGAAGTTACAGAATCGTGGCTTCGTATGAGTCAAGCTCTTAACATGCTGGATAATCTCCAGAATGTAGCTTCTTTGTCAGATTCGTGCCTCACATCTTTCAGCTGTGTGTTTTTGTACGACAGGGTTTTCATTATAGGGTTGTAGACTCCAAGCCAAGACAACCCTGATGGTGTCATTTTTTGTTAATTTTTCAGAAATGACAAAGTTCTTTTAGCCACCGATGACCTTGTATAACTGTATCGACAGGGTGCCATGACAACTAGACTCATTTCTGGTGTGTAAAATCGGTGGCTTTAGGATCTATAACACTGTGCACTTTTTACACTTTAGATAATTCAGTGTTTTATCCATTATTCACCCCCAACAATGAGGCCTTTGATTGCTCCCAAATTCATCCTGGAGCATGACGACACCCCCAAACGTGCAGCCAAAGTAGAGAAATGGCTGTTTGTTCCTTACTTTACTGATCGACTAACAACTGCACATCCCTATTTACATGAACTCCAGCTGTATCATAGTGCGTTTTACCATTGAAGAACTTAATGATGTCGGTGAAATCCATGTTGTTCTCCAGGATGATGTCCCTGTACATCTCCACCAGAGCCAGAGCAATGAAGAGGACAAAGTGACTAGAGGAGACATACTTGGCTGCCCAGATGGTTTCCCAGACTGCAAACACGTCATCGTACACCAGCTCTGGAAGACAAAAGCGCACAAAGGAACGGAAGGTGATCAGGGAGGTGAATTCGTCGCGGCTATCAGCGGCGAGAGATAAGACAGAAAGGAGGTATCCGCTAAGGAGGCCGAGCAGATACGCTGAGAAAGTCATGTTAATTAATAGAAAACGGGCTGCGCAGTGGTTAAACCTTTAGCATAGTGAACTACAAAGCCTGATTCATGCCAATTATTTCATCAGCAACTCCCACAAACATTTCTCCAAAAACTCCCAAAACCCCTTCCAAGCCTTAATAAGTGCATGTGTGTTGTTAACAAGCTGCCAAGCGTTTTTTATCCACAAACAGGGCTTAAAGAGGAGCGAGTCTTCTCTTCCTCTAATTGGCACAAACACCGTAACGCTGTGCTGTGGCTTTACCTCGCTTGAAGTCGAGGAGAAACCAGCGGTAGCAGAAGTAGAAGTGGGTGTAGTCTCCGTTCTGGTGCATTAACTCAAACATCTCAGAATCCAGGATCTGTACCGAGAGGGGATCAGAGGAGATTCAGGAAAGAAAAAAAAACAATAATGAGACCAGCTGAGAGGGTAAAATGCAAAGTTGTAAGAAATGAAGGGATTTAGCTGTCCCTGACCGCTACAGTAGGTGTAAAAGGTTTTACTGTATCACCTGGATTAGAGAGCGCATGTTGGCGAAGTGAGTGTCCATAGCTCCTCCGTGTGGAAAGTTTTGATTCATTCTCTTCATGAGTTCGGTGAAACAGCTGAAAGCCAAGGCCTCTGAAAGGAGGAGAGACAGAGGCAGCTGGAGTGAGAAAGCGAGTGGGCAAACTCTCCGCTGTTGTTGCATCAATAACTGTAAAAAATACACCAAATGTCAGAGAAGACGGAAAACAAACAGCGCGTTGACTCACCATCATCCAGAATGACGAGAAGCGGAGCCAGCAGGTCGCACATTCCCTGTACATAACCGATGTCAAGGTGCCTCCAGATATAGCTGTGAATACACAAACAAGACAAGCGAACTTAACTCCACTTGGCTGTTTCTCTCTATGAGTCATACGCTGCTGTCCAGATTGATTTAGAAGGTATTTCTACATTTTGATTCAACACCCAAGCCACGGTTTTCAATAAAATACTCACTACTTACGGAGGCAAGTGGTTTTACTATTCACTATTAGGCTTTTTGAAATTGTAAAACTAGATCCGAGGTGGGTGTCGAGGATGACGGGGCGCTTGGGAGGAAAATGTAGACAGCTTGATTTAATATAAGCTGCAGGAAAAAAAATACAGTCTAAGGATGAGACTGGCTTTTTTTTTTTTTTTTTAACAAACTCTTCTTGTTATCAATAAATGCCATGAAAAGACCAACAAAAGTGTGTTAAATGTGTAAATCTGTTAATACTGCAAACCTGCCTGAATATCTAAAAACATGATCATGACTTTATTGTTTCAGTTTTTAGAGAAGATTGTTGAAATAGGAGTCGACAGCACGATGGATGAGTGAATGAGCATTTTTATGTACATGTCATAAATCCGCTGCAGCCTGCGTGGGCGTCATCTGAGCGCTCAGGCTTTTCACAGTCCAAAGACATGCAGCAGGTTAATTGGCGACTTTGAATCGGCCGTAGGTGTGAGCGCGAACATGCACGTTTGTCTGGTTCTTTGTGTCAGAAATGCAGCGTTCAGGCCCTGAGTCTCGCCTATTGTCAGCTGAGATGAGCTCCTGCACACGTACAGAGGACAAAGCGGTGTATAGAGAATCACAGGATAGACGGATGGTTGATGTGATACATTTTCATCTGAATGAATTAAACCAGGGCTGCAGGGTGGCGCAGTTGGTTAGCACTGTTGTCTCGCAGCAAGAAGGTTGCTGGTTCGCGTCCCGGGGCATCTTTCTGTGTGGAGTTTGCATGTTCTCCTCGTGCAGCGTGGGCTCTCTCCGGGTTCTCCGGCTTCCTCCCACACAGTTCAAAAACATGCTGAGGTTAACTGGTGATTCTAAATTGTCCATAGGTGTGAATGTGAGTGTGCTTGGTTGTCTGTCTCTAAGTGTAGCCCTGTGATAGACTGGTGACCTGTCCAGGTGTCCCCTGCCTTCGCCCTAAGTGAGTTGGGATAGACTCCAGCCCCCCATGACCCTAGTGGGGATTAAGCGGTGTATAGATAATGGATGGATGGATGAATTAAACCAAAGTACTTTGAAATCAATCATGGTGTGCACTGAGAAGGTGCATGAGTGCAATAATTTTGGCCAAATCTGTAAAACAAAACAGCTTTACTGCAGAACTTGTAGGTGTTTGCTCGTAATAATTTTAACTGTGTGTAAAAACAGTGTTTCTCTGCAAAACATAGAAGGAAAATGTTTGTCAATGTATGAGGATATTTGATTTTATTTACAGTTTGTGTTTGCCAGCTATTGCTGCCCATCATTTAACTGTTTTTTTTTACACATTTTTTTTATAGTGCATGCTCACAAGACAATGCCTTTAGAATGAGAAGAAAATTAAAAAAGGAAGCTCATAAATGGTACTCATAGGCACACACTATGGAAGATAAGATGTGAACAAATTAAACATATAACGCTCTGTTGCCGGCGCGGAGGCATAATTAGAATAATCTACAGCGCCTATGTTTTTAGTAATGAAGCAACATGTGACCCAGTGTATCAGAGTGACTCCCTGATGGGTTTTAAATAGTTTATGGGCATCAGAGGAGCTCTGTGGAAGAAGAAGAAGAATAAAATATACCAGGATTTAGCTACTCGTTAATGATCGCTGGTTTTGGTCTCGAATAAATGGATCATTTATTTGATTTATAGTGAAAAGTAATGCGGTGAGACGGGGAGTGGGAACGTTATGATCCAAACAAGAAACAGCACATTTTCATTTCTGAAAATAACCAGCAATTTTCTGTAAATATGAAGATTGTGTCATTATGTCCCTGCTGCTGCTGCTAGTGTTTTACCTGCACATGATGTTGCGCAGTTTCTCCAGGTTGGCAGGAGTGAAGTACCAGTAGTTCCTGTCGCAGCGCTGCACGTCCTTTTCAATGCGGTGCAGATTCAGTGTGTACAAGTCCAAAAGCTCTTGCTGTAACAAATAAAATGACGGTAATTAAAACAAACTCAGGAGAAAGTTGACTTTGCAGAGCACGAATAAATAAGTGTGCTTACAGTGAAGGTACCGCCGGCCGACTCTTGAGAGGTCACTTCGTTCTTCGTGGTTTCAGCCAGAGAGTCGAAGGCAGGGTACAGACTCTCCATCTCTGGCTCCGACAGGATGGACTCGGTGCCCTCTGGACTCAGCTTTCCCTGCTCCTCCTCCTGCCTGAGCTCCACGCGAGGGGCCGAATCATCAGAGGAAGACGAGGTTTCACAGTGTCCCTTCCTGCTGCTCCAAGGCACCATGGAAACTTTGGCTTTGGGGATCTCCTCCATCTCTATGGCCGAGGGAGACTCGTCGGACTCGGTCATGACCTGAGGCTCGTCTTTCTGGGAGGCACAGTAGACTTCTCTTCCTCTCGACATCCTGGTGTCTGACGAGAGAAAGAGATTCTTTTCCATTTCAGGAGGACCGGAAACTTTGAATATTTTCCCTTCTGTCAGTAAGACCGCTTTACTCGTCTTTGATTCGTCCATTTTATTCATCTCTTCCAGCTTTGGCGCTTCCTCACTGCTCGCTTCCACTTCTGCTTGTTGTTCAGTGAGTTCTGCTTTGAGTTGTGTTGCGTCTGTCGGTGCTGTCACAGTATCCACCTCAGACTCTTCTTTTGCTGTTTCCAATGACTCTGCCGTAATAGCTTCTAACTTCTCAGTGTTTTCTTGAGTTTCAGGCTGCAAACTGGTCTCTTTGTTGTCTGTGTTATCATCAGTCTTACTGTTTTCCGCCTCGCCTGCTTTCTCCTCCTCCTCTTTGCCCTTCTCTTGATCTTTCTCCTGGCTGTCCATTTCCTCCGTCGGCCCTTCACTCGCTCCTCCTGCAGGTTTGACGGAGCTCTGCGATGCCTGAGGGACGCCTGCAGATCTGGGAGTCGTATCAGGTGCGGCGCTGTCCTCGGTGCTGAAGGATCCGTCCGACAGTCCAGATGTCACAGAGAAGTTGCGGGAAGAAGGATGCCCAGAGTCGGGAGAGCTCGTCCCGTTCTGCAGAGCTCCATTGGGCATCTTTGGCACCTGTTTGGCCTCTTCGCTTTTTGGCTCCGTTTCAATCTGGTCCACCTCCTCCACGGACTCGAACACCTGCAAGAACAAGCCAAAGGGAAGCAGACTACTCCAGGGGAAGGGATGGGAGGATGTGAAGAACTAGCAGGAGAGAGAGGAGCAGTGGTTCAAAATGTCCAGATCAAACCCATCACTTGAGTCAAACACTGAGAAATGTGACATAAAAGATCAGGATGTTAGCATTTTGAAAACTAACAGAAATACAGTTTAGTAGTTTTGGAGGAGTTTAGAGGTTTTGATACCTGTGTGCTGCTGCTGGAATCACTCTGCAGGCGAGCCAGACTCTGTCTGTCTGAGCTCTGGGAGGACTGGGACTGCAGAATAAAAAATATACATAACAACACTTGACAACATTTTTATTCTCACATTCTTGTTTGTTTCCTCATGTGCAACCCCTCACATTAAAGAGGATACATCAGTAAGGGGTCAAAATGAAAGCAGAAGGCACCAAGATATAGTAACAGTTCAGTCCTAATGCAGGGCAAGCGCCACAGAAACGACTAAAACTGGTGAAATTAACCTTTAATTACCTTTGCCATGACATTTGCTATGTATATTCCTCATTCCTAAGAAGAAATATCTCACATGCTGCAACCCTTAAACCACCATAAGCCCACAAAATAATCAGGCCTCATGTTCTGTCCTCCTCTCAGACTAGCTGAAGACTACACTCTGGCTTCAATGTGTAAAATCTGCTCATGCATGTGTTGCTGTTTCACCTCATTGCTCACAGTGGAATCATGATGGGTCATCTTCTGAATGGAACTGTCGATGCTCGCCCCAGACGAGCACTTTGCTAACGCCGCAGCGTGCTGCTCCTTCTCTCGCTGCCGGACAATCTCCTCGCATCCGAGCCACTCGTGCATGGTCTGTTGGTAGCTCACTCGGACCTGCTCGTCCACCTGGTGTGAAAGTGAAGGGTCAAAGGTCAGCGGTCAGGTGGAAAACGGTCCAGAGGCTACGTCATAATCGTGGAAACAACGAACCTCCTTCCTCTCGGCCTCTGACATTCCAAACTGGTAATGACCCAGCAGGAAAGGCCACACCTCTTTACGCAGCGACGGGTCCACGCCGCCGAAGTAGACCAGACGCAGCAGCTCCTGCTCCTTGTAGGCCTGGAGATACAAAACATGCCTGTGGTCAACTCAATGCTTGTGTTTTGTTCAGTCTTTATATTTTTACGGATTCATTTTAACACACAGAGCCTAAAAACCCTTCTGCAGGTTCAAAGACGTGTTAGTTTTAAGAACACCATTTATCTGATCCAGAAACTGTAAAAATAATCTTCAGATTTTCAAGTTTCTGAGGTGGTCATCTGTCATGTCAACAAAAACAAAGGACAGATTCTGTAACAAAACCTAAAAATTCTGAGGTGTGCAGCACAACCACCAAGCCATGATTTACACAGCTATGATCCTCTGTTACAAGAGAAAAAATGCTAAAAAAAAAAAAAAAAGGCTAGAGGCTGCCAGTGCTGTGGTGACTACCTCAGTCATGGTCAAATGTTGCACTCAAATTATGTATAAAAAACAAAGTGTGTTGACTAGGAATATTTGGCAATAAACAGTTTTTCATTCTCAAGCCAAGCTGTCCTTGACTGCAGGTAAATGTGTCCAGATAAACTGCAGATGTGGACTCTGGGATTGACAGGCCCATTAGTCACGCTTCCTGCACACTGGTGCGAGATTAATGGTGTGAAGCACATGATCAGCGGAGGATGAATATGGATGAGACGCGAGACTGACAGAGTGAAAAAAGAGACGCTGGGAGTGGACAACACACTGTCAGCGGTTAATAGTGTTGGGGCGACGTGACACCACAGATACGTACTGTGCAGTCCTGCAGGAACGTCTGCCACACGTCCGTGGTGAGCCCCTTGTAGGCGTCGCAGGGCGCGTCGGGCGCCACGATGGTGTGATTGACGAGAGCAGAGAGGTGTGTTCGCACAGTGGACAGGTGACGGCAGTATGCCAACCCTGGTTCACAACACACTGCATTATTTAATGCCTCTGCAGAGGCAAGTGATGGCTAAGCAGCACATTTACATAGGGAAGGTGAATAGATTTAAATACTGTGGTCTCTATTGTAAAGACCTCCTTTTCTTCACAGTCTTTGCTTTAATATTTTATACTTTATATTTATATTTATCTTTCCTTTCACGTCATTTTTTTTACTTGTGTATTGCTGCCACAGAGGATGGTTAGGGCTACAACAATATTTCACTGCTGTAACTCTGTCTTTTTAACATTGCTTTCACAGTGACAATAAAGACTGATTCTATTCTATTCTATTCTATTCTATTCTATTCTATTCTATTCTATTCTAGATTTAAACATTCATCTTTTCGCTGTAAACAGGAATGAATCACTTACAGCCATAAAATGCCCTGGAGATGATCTGATACTTCATGTTGTCACATAGCAGCTTCAGAGGAGCCCTGCAGGAAGACACAGCACAGATTATATCATATTTGTACAGAAAACACAACTATTCTGGTCTCTGTTGTTAAAAAAAAACTACCATCAGATCATCATTTAACTGGTTATCTAGTGCATGAGAAGTTCATCCTAAATGTATTATATACTGTTTAAGAGCATTCTAGTTGAACTGAGAAGTCCAGAGCTCAGACTAAGAGTCGGACAATTCAACTGGAACAACCACAGCGTAGGACCAACCAGACCTTTGACGAGGCGGCTTTTAGTGAACCTGAGAGCAGCTGGATGTGTAGAAATCTTTAAATGAAATCTTGAAGCCTATCTCTAAAAGTAGGGTTTATAGTCTTGACTTATTTTATTCATGTATTTCATTGTTTTGGTGTTGTTATGTTTATTCTATTTCTGTCTTTATGATCTTTTTTTTTATTTTGAGCTTTTTAAAAATTTATTTTATTACTTGATCACATTTCCATGCTTTGTCTTTTAATCTAATTTGATCTAGTTTTTCTTCTTTTATATTCTTGTTTTGTCTTTTTAACCTTTTTAGCTATTCCTTTTTGATTTAGCTTTATTTCACCTGTCTTCTTTTATCCGTTTATGGGTTTTCTCAGCAATCTGGTGAGCACGCTGAGCTGAATGACAGGCGCTATGCAAATAAAGTTTGACTGTACTGACGGATTGATTGATTGATGGATTGTTTGTAGTCAGATTTCTGACTTGGAAAGTCAAAAGAACGTCACTGACATTGACCTAATAATCCAAGCTGGCTGCTCAGTGAATAACAGCACTGAAAGCTGCAGTAATGTACAGTTTATCTGGAAACGAAGAAAATCAGTCGTACAGACAGCACCGTCCGACTTCAGTTGTTGCTTTAGTGTTTGTAGGCACAAAATACAGCATAATGTGATGTTATCAGCTGGTATTGCTCATAATAGCTGACCAAGGTTTTCTTGGAAGTGTGCATCTGAATTCTCTGAGTTGTTGCAATGCTAAATGGTCAGAGACGGTGTGAAGGGGAGACTCACAAATTAAGTAGTTCTGAATAGAAACTTATGGAGAATTCCGTAATGCCAAACATGGCTGACACAAGTTCTGCTCCCCCCTCTGACATCTGAACCAGGAAACATCCAGCAAATTTTATTTCGCAACAAGCACAGTGTTGTCAAACCGTGTGCATGCATAGTAGAAGTATAGCATGAAGGGAAATACTTTATTTTGGGACAAAGTCAGCAAACTCTGAATGTCTTTTTAATAAAACTACAGCTGTGGCTCTACCCGCAAACATTTAAACAGGAGCCTGATATTGTTAATCTGACATAACGGCCCAGGGTGCTACCGAGATGGATGCCGAGCTCTGACTTCTGCGGTAAATGAAACGCCGTATTTATTGTTGGCGTTGACCTTTAATCAAATGATAAACTATCGTTCTGCCATACAGAACAAATAGGCTAAGCAGCTTGCCTTTTTCTATAGCCTTCATCCGTGCTATCTGCATTGCTTATCACCTCATTCTACCAACACATTCTCATTCCAGCGAGGTAAATGTCACATAATTATCTGCTGTATAATTGCTAGGATCATGTATCTTTGTTCCATCCCTGGTTATCTCTGTATTGCTGAGGATGTCAGGTGAGTGGGTGTGTTTCTGCAGCCTCCAGCTGTACCCACTGTCACGATCTGACACGGCTCAGTCTAGCTCGGAGCGTGTTCATCTCTCACCTCTCGTGGTTGCACCCCTTGGGTGTCGCCCCGTCAGAGAAGCTCCCCTGAGAGCAGGAGGAACACGACGACTTCCTGAGAGTGGGATGCCACATCGTAGCTCCCTGATCCATCAGATCTGGAGGAGTCACTGCACACAAACAAAAACACACGTCGCTTTAGAGGCGTTCAAGAACGATTACATCTGCGCTTAGATGATTTAACCACAGCTGTAAACATTTTAGCATAAGCAGAATTACACTGATCGGTTGTGATCTGCTTAAAGCACTTCAGATTACAGTTTATTTGAGCTTGATTCCTGTTAGAGCAAAAACAAAGCACATAAACAAAAGCATTAATGCAATCTGGACATGATGCACAGTTTGAAAGCTTGAAGCCAACGTATTTAGTTACATTATTATACGGGAAAAGATCAGTCAAGCAAGAGTTCAGGAGCCATATTTGATCAATCCACACACACCGCCTGTTAAAAGGTTACCGCGTCGTGATTCGGTAAAAACAGTGTGACACAATGCGGCTTTATAACGCTGCACATCAATAAACGTTGCCAGAGGCGCAGGACAGGGCAGGAGGATATTAGATGCAAGGAATTAAAGCGAGGCAAGCTGACAGATGGACAGACGAGCCGAGGTGTGACAGTGTTACAGCTGCTTCCTGTGAATGAGGGGGATTCTTCAGGACAGCTGCACGACCTCCTGGGTACAACCAGAGTCCCTGCTTTGGAGGGGGACTGTCCGCTCCGGTGAAGGGAGAGGGAGGAAGTCAGATGGGTTACAGTCACTGCAACAAACAACGGGCGACATTTTCATCAAAATGCAACGATCTGGAGAAGCCTGTGGACGCTGCTCACGCTCATTTATTCCTCTGGAGGGGAAACTCACCAAACTCCGACTGACTGTTTGGGAAGAGTATGCGGAAGACGTAGTCTGTGGCCTCGTCCTCCTCCTTATCTGAGACCGAGTCTGAGGATCCAGATCCCTGAGGAACCCTCTTCCGCAGCTTGGGAAACACTTTCCCCTGCAATGAGAGAAAAAAAATTGTTATTAAACTAATGCCAGCGACAAAAATGTTCAACCGTTCAGCTCAGTTAAGCCATCCGAGGAATTAAAGTTGATGAGCGTGTGTATGATTAAGCCTATTAATAGTAGCTGAACATGCGTGGGTGGTTTTCATTATTCAGTTTAGCTGCAGATACAAAGCTGCTCAGGGTCTAACAAAAGCATCCATTCAATAAAGTAGACACTTTTTGTGTGGTGATGCGGAGAGAACAATTCATCAGTATTACTTCAGACAATACTGCAATGAGGCAGCGCATCTACTTCCAAACCTAAATGTCTTTTGTATTGATTTATTGATCCGTTGAGGTCCATTGAGCATTTTAGTGCTGTTTTCTGGAGGAATGGCAAATATGTGTATGTGTTGTGTTGTGGATCTGAAGCAAAGTAAGACCTCCTGCGCTGACCTTTCCCCTCTGGGACCAGAGCGGAGGGTCCAGCTGGCCGTGAGGAAGCAGGCCGTTCTCCAGGCAGGAGAGGAACTGGAGCAAATGGCCTCCTCTGGGGAAGCGAAGTGGAGGTCTTTGGATCCCATCCTGACTGACCAGCACCACCGTGCCCCCGCTGTCCACTGCAGGAGACGTACAAGAGATGATTCCTTTAATAACTTGTTCAATCGCTCGATCAGTACAGTGCTTGTAAAAATGTATTCACCACCGCTGGAAACTTTGCAACACTGACTCACGGTCTGATATAATACAGCTTCTTTGACAGATATTTACAAGACAAGACTCTTTAAAGACAAAGTGAAAGCAGATTTTTACAAAGTAATGTCAATCAATTAAAAAATGAAGAGTTCAAGTGCAAAAACAGATAACTCCATCGTCACAAACCTTCAGAAAACCTCTTTTCCATCGTCTATCTGAGACAATAACAATCAAACTTAAGTTATCTCTATTTTTGTCATTTCTACTGAGTCAAATCCACTCAACTTCAGTTTGATTGATATTATCTCAAGCAAACAACAAAAAATAAGTTTTCTGAAAATCTACAAAAATGGAGTTATCTGTTTTTGCAAATGAGCTCTTCATATATTAAATGTAAAAATAAGTGGCTGCATAAGTATTCACCACCTTCACGTCATATTTAGTAGATGTGACTTTGGCCACAGTTATTACATTAAGCCTACGTGGATGATCTCATTACACATCTGGACGCTGCAATTTTACCCCAATTTTACCACAGTTTCTCCCATCTCTGCTGCTGAAGCTTGTTACTCCTTCACAGAAGTCATAGGTGTCATGGTGGCCTCCCTTAAATTTTGTTGTATGTCAATACAATGACAATAAAGAACCTGAAGCTCACTAGTCTCTGTCTTCCACCATCACTCAGCGTTTGGTGACAGCTCGCTCCAGGCAGATGAACACGTGCCATATTTCTTTCATGTCTTAATGATCTATTTAACTCTGCTCCAAGGGATGTTCAGTGACTCGGAAATTTTCTTGTATTCATCCCCTGACTTTTTACAAATCTTTTCACAGAGCTGCTTGGAGCGTTATTTGGCTTTATGGTTTAGTTATAACCAGGAGTACTAATTCACCAGTGCCTGGTCCTTCCAGTTACAGTTGTCTTGATACTACAGTCACTTGAGACACATTTACGGCACTCAGATGATCTCCATTTCACTCATTGTGTTACTTCTGGCACCAGCTGGCCGCACCTGTGTTGAATTAGGTGAGTCTCTTTAAAGGCTGTGAACACTTGTAGTCAATTATTTTACATGTAAAAGTTCAATTACTTGACATCACTTTGTAGAAATGCCTTTAAGTAGGTTTTTGTTCTGACTTCTGGTCGAATTAAAAAACCACAACCAGAGGACCTGAGGGTTCCAGAGGTTTCATAGGATAAAAACTAATCTGATAAACAGGTAGGACCAAGACCATTAAGAGCTTTTTAAACCAATTAAAGGATCCTAAAATCTATTCTGCAACAGACAGGTGGCCAGTACAGAGACTTTAAAATTGGTTTTAATTTGCTTTCCTTCTGTTGTTAGAACACGCAGGCTGCTGAGGTTTTCTTTGTGGGGAGACCAGAGAAAACAGCATTTCAACAATCAATCCTGCAGGGACTAAATATGTGTAGCACTGTCTCTGTATCGCCTTGAAAGAGAAGCAATCGCAGTCTGGCAGTGTTCTTTAAATGATAAAATGCGTTCTCAGTTTCTAATATAAGATCTGTGTGAAATTTAAGTCAAAGATGATGCTTTGATTTTACTTGTTGACATGATTTAAACACCAGTGTTAACTTCAGCACTCCCTTGGCCCTCACACATCACAAGATATGATTGCATTCATGACATTTTTTTTCAAAACCTGTGCAGGTAATAAAATAAAAAGGCACTAACACCCTGCAAACACTGCAGCATAAAGCAAAGGTTTGTATGCACCCACCTTGCTGATGACAGTGCAAATAAACTATCTCCTCCAGAGGGATTGTCATGGCGTAGTCCCAGTACACACTGAAAGACATTAAATGAAGGAGACAGTCAGTAAAACCACGACTAAAACTATAGTCTCAGCGCACCGAGCGGATCACAGGCAAACAGTGAAAAACAAATCCATAGGCATTATTTACATGTTACCTGAATCAGAACCTCGAGGGCCATTCATTTTAGAGCTAACAAAACAAAATTGCTTAGAGTGCACACAAAGACAAGCAGGCACAGAACCTAATGCAGCAATCAATCTTTTTGATGAGAGAAACCATGCACAGGCACAGGAACATAACATGGTTTGCTAGTTTGAGAGATGTCTGACAGTGTCTCAGTCAATAAACCATCTGTTGGCTGCTGGTGTGCTGAAAAAAAAAAAAAGGGCCTCATCGGATTTGCAGCGTTTATTCAGCATATTGAGGCCCCGAGCCACACACACACTCAAACACGCTGCATTATTCAGTAACACCCGAGTATTACACGAGCAGCGCTGAGAAGAAGTAAGGACATAACGCAGTGCTTAGACGGCTTTGTGGGGGAACATTACATGTTAGCTATTCTCGGTATGAGCGGGATCACTAATTATCAAACACAGGCTTCGTAGACATAATCAGGATGCATTTGCAGATGGGTAATTTTGCACCTGCGCTCATAATCCAAGTCTCCAACAGAGCCGTTCATGAGCTGATTGGGCGTCCACTTCAGCGTCATGATGTCGGCGGTCTGGTGCAGAGAGAGGTAACCTGGGATAGCCTCCATGTCATCCCTCTGAAAACAAACACGAGTTTTCATTTAAAGCAAGAAACGAGGATTTGTTTGTATGTATGAGCCTGAAGCAGATTGCACTGATGCTGGAGAAGAAAAATGCCAAAGAAGGCTGCTAGCTATGTAATTACACTGATAACACACGAAGAAACAATTACACACAGAGCAAGCAGGTGAAGATCTGAGATATCTAAAGCTGAATGCATGTCATCTTTTGAGCATATAGCACAATTAGTTTATGGGAACATCTGACTGGAGTGCATGAAAACTATAGGGTGGCAACACAATATGTAGACTTCCAGTTAGTTCAGGGTTTTAAACAGTAGAGGAACATTCCAGAGATTTAAATGATATCATTCCTAGGGAGTATCATATCTATATATCGATACGTGCTGGTGAATAACCAGACAGTTACCGGCTGTACAAGCACGTTGTTCTTGCCAAACAGTAGCGTTGCCCTGTTGTTTTGATGCAGCGACTCCACATATTCCCGAGCTGATGGCGAGGGGGAAGGGCGTTCATCCATGCTGCTGCTGGAGTGCCGCTTCTGGATCTGCACAGCCCGGGACATGAAATACATCAAATCAGATAACAAAACTGATGACTAACATGCGCTCATTCATGTGCACCAGTGCAGCTCCTCTCGTTCCTGATGCCAAAGACCAGCCCGCCTCTGCTTGGGACGCACACACACACACAAACACACACACGACGGTAACGAGTATCGTGGTGTGTGAGATAGGCCGTGTTGACCTGGTTCACTGACAACATGACGACTGAACAAGTGTGAAGGTCTCCGATACGCTCTGTTCTTTCTCCCGGGACACACTGTGCTTCACTTAATGCAGTAATCTGAGCAGGTCCACCAGACAGACGGCAAGAACCTCAAAAGGCAGTGAAACATGATGAAAATATCAGAGTACTACATACACATTAGATACACTAAAAGGAGCGTGAGAGTAACTCTATATGGTCAGTTACTGTAACATCAGATGTCGTACTAACACAGAGCGCAGGCCGCTTGGTGGGAGAGTCCTGCCTGCAGTGACCACTGTGGATGCGATGTCTTTGCACCAACTCGTCAGCAGACGGATCTGTCCAGAAGTGGTCCGCCGTCTTCATCTTTGTGTACTCCAGAGCACAAGGTCCAACTGTCACGAGTAAAGCAGCACAATTAGATGATGCAGAAACAAGATCTATGGTTTTGTTAGAATATCTAAAATATTAAACATCACACTGAAAAATAGAGGGAAAGAGGGAATATACTGAAAACTGGCTTATAAACAGCCAAACCTGTTCTCACAGCGAGGTGGACTGTCTGTGGTGTACAGATACATATATGATACATATATATATATATATATACATCCGCTCTGCCTTTCTGTACTTTTAAGTACTTATTTATTTGATATACTACAATACATGTTTACATACACCTATGTATACATGTACTGCCTTTGGTGATTTTTGCATAACTGAATGGTGAATTCTTTATTGATTTTGTGAACTTCTCCAAATATCTCACATACTGGCAATACACACTTTAAGTACTGTAACTTCAGCACTTCAAACTCTAGTACTTATAATCATGCACTTTGTATTACTGATTGATTGATTGATTGTACTGTATTTGTGTATTTTAAAGCCTTGTGAGTTACATTTTTTAGTCTGTGACCCACCAAGGGACAACAGATGCAAACTAGCATTTATAATATGTACTTTTTTTACGTTTGTTCATTAATGTGCACTGTCCCTTTAAAAAAAACAAAAACAAAAGTGAATTATTTTAAAGATGTGCAATAATAGGTCTCTATCTTCTGATTCACCGTAAAACTAGAATTTTATGATAGACGAAGCCCGTAGTTCCCAAACTGTCTGCCTTCATTTGTTGAAAATCATGACTGCTGGTTACAGACAGTCTGGAGACAGTGGATAGTTCAAAGGGGGAGTTTTCCTTCCCAGATTTTTAAAATTCATCTCAGGGACCTTGAAGTTGCAAAATTGTTCAGAACGGAAAAAAAAAAAAAGCAGAAAAATGCGTTCCTGCTTTGGTATTCAGTTCATAATCCGTAGATTTAATTTGGTACTTCTAGAGTTGCCTGTTGCTGTTTCTGGCCTGACTCCAGTGAAAACAGCTGGTGGGAAGCCGGTGAGGGATCATGTCCTTGTTGCTGCCAAATGGACTTTGACTGGTTAACTTTTCTGTCTACTTCTGTCTCTGGTCAAGAGTAGAAGCTCGAAATAACAAAGACCGCATATACAGGGACCTTACTGGTAGTGCACATAGGAAGAAGAATAAAGCACCAAAGTACATCTCTGACATGTTGGTGCCCATATGAAGCATCTCGGGCTCTGAGAACCTCAGGGAGAGGTCTCCTGCTGGTACCCAGAGTCAGGACTAAACACGGTGAGGCTGCGTTCCAGTTTTATGCAGCTAAAATCTGGAACTGTCTATCAGAAGATATGAGACAGGCCTCAACTCTGACAATGTTCAAACCCAGGCTGAAAACAATTCTATTTAGTTGTGCATATGACAGCTGGAAGTATTATATCTGGACTCTTCTAATTAGTAATTACATTTATGTTTTTATGGATTGATTACATCTACTTCTTTGCTTTTAATATAATTAATTAATGATTATATTTATGTTTGTATGGATTGATTATATCTGCCTCTTTGCTTTTAATATAATTAATTAATGATTGTGTTTATGTTTTGTGGATTGACTTTATCTGTCTTCTTGTGTGAAGCACTTTGAATTGCCTCAGGTAAATTCAAACCTACAGTATATGAGACACATGATGTTAGACGACCACAGTAAATTAAAAAAACCTTTTAACGTCACATATTATTACCTAACAAAGACGCAAGGATAGGTCCGTCTACAGGGTCCATTAGAACAGCCTCTTTCTCGTAGTATTTACTGGAAGACAAGCGTGAAAAGGGAATTTTGAGGTTAAATAGAAGTCTTGTAACACAGTAGGACAAAGTGTTTTTTTGCCCTCCACACACCTGCTGTTCTCCACCAGGTAGAGAACTATCTTGTCCAGCACCTTCTCGAACAGAGCCGTCCTGATCCACAGGTTCTTCACCCCCTGTGGGTTGAGGCTGGGCAGTCGGGGCATCTTGCGAAGGCTGTCTTGACTTTGCAAGCTTTGACTTCGTCTGCAGAGGGGAAGAGTTTTGATTTTTCAGAAAAAGCACAAAACGTTTTAAAAAAATTCCATCAAGCGAAACCGTGTTTGCGTCACACTATTAGCATTAGTGATTCATGATTCAAAAAAAGCTTATCAGCATGAATTATTTAGAAGCTTTATATAATAAAATAAAAAAAATAAAAACACACAGCTCTTCAGACGGACAGACAGTCATTTGTGTTCAGTGCTTTTGCAGCAACAATCAAACAGGCTTTGATGAAAGCTTTGAAGTCTGCTGTGATGTGCGAGAATGAGCCGTGATGAATGCGTCTCTCACTTTGTCTCGATGATCTGCTCCAGCTCCTGGGCCTTCCTGCACAGCTCCTCAGCCGGGGCGAAGCTTTTCCCCACCTTCATGAAGAGCGCTGCTATCTTGTTGCTACGCAGAAAACCCGCCGCTCGTCGCTTCAGCCCGTGAAGAACACACGCCTCCACTGCAGCTGTATGGACACACAATAAAACATACTTTATTAGTACTACTACTTGGTAGCACTTCACTGATACTATACACCAGAACAACACAACAAGAAGTGACACAGGAATCCATAATAACTATAAAATCATGAAAAGTTAAAGAAAAGGCAGAAAATGCCTTTTGTGGCGCCAATGTTTTTTTTTTTTTGTATTTTGAGAACAAAATACACCTTTTCTTGCTGTTAAACACTGGTGTAATTGTAACTTAATTAGCACACGATAACAAATATTCAGTATTGTTTTTGGATCACTTAGGGGCTTTAAGAAAGATGTAAACACAACACTAGTTTATGAAGTTGTTGCATATGTTCTAATAACAGTTATGCATTTACACATCATGAAGAGGAAGAGCAGCTTTGGCATGTCATCTTTAGTTGTTTACCTCCTTCTTGCTTTGTTTTGTTCTCCACCAAACACTGAAAACATTATTCATATTTTAACAAAACTAATTTAGAAGCCATAAATCCAGAACAAGTATAATTAATGAATTAGAAACCAGTGAACCTTAAATTTTAACACTTGAAATCAACATTTTGTGCAAAAAAAAAGGCAATTTGGTGCACAATGTGGCACCTAACATCTCCCAAGAAGACATGTTTTTGTACACATAGCATATCATACAGCCACTTCAACAGAGTTTCAAGTTATTCCAACAAAATAATTTACCTTGTCTCTACACTGTTCTCAAAAGAGTCTTCAGTATGTACGTCAAAAACAAACAGCAGCAATACGTTTGAGCACAAAATGTGAGAATTCAAGAGTGTTTTCCTACATAATAAATTATGCTTGGTGCATCTCTAAACAACTATTTTATGCTCACATTCAAAGAATTTCAATACAAAATAAAACATGTGTCTTGTGTCGGGTAAAAAAAATGAAGCCATTATGCTACAATTTCAGAAAAAAAGTTTTATTTTTGCTTCCTAACGTGAGGACTGCGTATTTACTGAACATTTTCTCTGGTTTCTATCCATTTCCAATTAGTCCATGCCTTTAAATAATCTAGTCCAGTTCATCCACCAACTTAATGACATGTTGACACACTTGCGCAGTCGCTTGACTGCCGTGAAGAACAGACATCCGCCCAGCTTCCCTCTCAGGCCTACGTGGCAGCGCAGCCGAGAGCTGTGTTGACATTTGAGTTCTCTTTCAGGACTAATCCTGTGGCTCTGCTCACATGGGGTCAGGGGGAAGGCTGGGGTTGCCATGACAACCCCTGTTGATGGAGCGATCGAGCTCTGGGAGAGATGAGCAGAGGGAGGGGCAGCGACGACTCACCAGCATCATGATCTCTCTCTTTCCACCGTCCTCACTCCTTCAGGCACAGCTCCTCTCTTTCCTTCACTCCGTCGCTCTTCACTGAGCTTCTCGGCGTTCCTACAATCACCCTCCCCGAGGTTTCCCTTCAACGCCGGGCAATAAAAAGTGCCACCAGAGCCATCAACTTCCAGGATGTCTCCAACAACGTTTCTGCACATCTCTTTTCTTCTTCTCTGTTTTCATGCATTTTCTTTTTCTGACCTTATCTCTTTGATCATTAGAAGAGCAAGAAGCTAAATGTCAGAACAAAGCACTACATTAAAAGGTCTCCAAATATAGTTCATGCTCCTTAGCCTTTCATCATTTCGGCAAACTAGTCTGTGATGTCAAAAGTGCAAAGAAACACTTCCAAACCTTTATAGTTTTTGAAAGCTGCAGTTAATCTACCAAGCTACTAAGAAAGCTCCCAGTCGGCCACAGTCACTGCAGCTTAAAGTGCTCTGAAATGACCAGCAGCATACATACTGCTACATACAGTACGTCTCACACTTGGGAAATTTCTTTACCACCGTACAGCACATGTAAAATCATACACAAAAGAATCAATGATAGACACGGATTTTCCATCTCAACTTATTTACTAAATTCAACAGTTAAATGGAAGAAAATGAGCATCAAGCCCAGAGGATCGGTCCTTTGTACGGTCCCTTCTGGTGAAAACAGCTAACGCGGTAAATTGCCTCTAATCATCCTGTATCTGTGGCAACTGAGTGCATTAAGAGACTCTTGTCAGTGACACACAGCTGACCAACACTTCAGCGAGAAGCCACAGCCACCAACACGAGGCCTCAGTGTGGACGGTGTTGTAAATATCAGTCAAAAAGTGAACCACTGATCATATTATTATTTATCTACTCAGCGAACAGTTAAGACGGTCATGATTGAATTTGGGTTTTTTTTGTTTACGAGCGTGTGCTTTTACCGTCATCTAAGAAATCACATACTCTAAAAACTAAGGAATGTGATTTGCTGATCAGTTAATGTGGTTGAAGTAAACTGAAATCAGAACATTCAGGGTTACTACTGAGGGAGAAGGTGAGACACGTTTTCCAGATTTTGCCAACTGATGCATTTCAGTGGTGCTGTGACTCACCACAACCAATGAGTCTGAGCATCAAACTCTCTCTTCTGAGGGTACGGACATGTGTTAACGAGTGGAAGCTTTTTTGTTTTTAATTGCCGATCAATCTGTCAGTTATTTTTTAAGATGAATACATTTGCTGAGTTTCCCAGAGCTAAATATAGCATCTTGTTTTGTTGACAGCCCAAAAACATTAATTTTTACTGTCATAGAAGAGTAAAGAAAGCAGAAAACATTCACATTCAAGAAGCTAGAATGAGTGAGGTTTTTTTTTTTTAAAAATCACTCAAACTGATTAATAGATGACTAAAGTAGGTAATTAATCGTTGTTGGCAACTAATCAGTTAATTAGTTCAGCTCTGGAGATGAGTCACCACCACCAGGTTCTCACTAGTTCAATAATAGTCGAGCAATGAATGTAAGCTGTAAAGATTTGGTTCTTATCTTAATTAAATGAAACAGATGTTTATGGGTTATTAAACCGTGGATATTTGTTCATTCCTTTAATTTAAAGTGAAATTAAATCTGATCATTATGAACTTTATTTCACCGCTTCTGTGTCGTCGGTATATTTTTTCCACAGAACCACATCACAACATGAGAAGCACAGGTGAGTCCTTTTCATACACACACATTGTATTTTGCATCCTGGCTGACTGACATGGGTTAATTGGACACTTAATAGAGGTCAGCGCTTATTAAGGTTTTTAATTACACCAGTGCTTCTCCTGCGCCGACAAGTCGAAATGTCTACTGTAAAAAAATGTCCCCACTCCAAAACGGTCACCACGCATGTGTCAGAGCGTCTGCATTCTCACGCCAGCTTTGATTTCATAAATCCCAACTTTTCTGTGGAAATGAGCGTTTTTAAGTCCTGTGAATGCACAGTGGTTATCAACGAGCCGTATGTTGCTGTTAGCAAAACTGCAATGCCAATACACAAAATTTCAAAATGCTTGTTTGCGAATTGAAGTCAATGCTTTGTCTGTTGCTAACAGGCAAAAGAGGAAAGGACTTTTTCCTATGTTTTCTGAAGCTTAGGATACACTTGTGATGGCAAAGGACAAGACAAGTGATTCAAATCTATTCACTGCTGTCAAATTAATCAGAGATAAGCCTGTTAAGTTAAGAACCGTGTCTAACTCGTCATGATTGAAACACTGTGATAAGAACGAGGACTTTTTAAATGTGAAAACTGAAATAAATAATAAAATATAACACAGCGTACAATCTATCAATACAACTGGTTGTTTCATAAGCATTGTTGTCCTACTTGTCTTTGCGTTCACATACATTCCCTCCACAGCGTCTGCATCTCAGACTCTGCCTGGGCGGCTCAGTGGCCATGATGGTGGAAGCTAATTGCTCCCCCGGTGAGCCGGCTGAGCTCGTCTCCCATCCTCCACTCGCTCTCATCTCTGAACAGACCACAGCTGAAGGAGAACATGTAGTAACAAGAGCCACTATAGAAGAATCGCAGGAGGAGTCAGAGGGAGGAGGAGGAGGCTGATACAGAGACATGAGAGGGTCATCCTGAGCGGCTACGTGTCCACTGGGACGTATCATAATAATAGAGGAAAGGCTATTAGAAGATCCAGGAGATAATGTCCACGCTGCAGGCCAGGGAATCTGGTGAAAGTACAACATGAAAGCACTAAAGAAAGCACATCAAGCGCATCCAATTTCTGCAAAACTGACACTATAGGACTTTCGGTCACAATGTGAGAAAAATCTGAGCCCTGTGACAAATTATTTTCATAACCCTCCAAGAGAAAAATAAAATTACAAAAAGAGATTTGGGGTAAGCTGATTATTGGGAAGGATGTTCAACATCATTTACTTACGCTGGTTTAATAGGTTTTCAAGCTGTGCTACAAATTCCCTTCACACTATTAAATCCACATACTTGGACATCATGAGTTACTGATCCTGTTTAAAATGCACATACAACTGATTGTATATTCTGTATAATCTTTATTGCCGCTAGACATTGGGACAAGCTTTGGCCTTCGTCACATTATTTACTCTACTAAGCTAAATAATAATTCCTGTGAAATAATCATGTGTGTGTTAATGTGAAACCAATAAACATGGACCAGGTGGGTCACCGTGTTTTCGCCTGTTGTGATTCAGTGCGACTGAGTTTCAGCCAGTGTTGACATCTGTCGGCTTCTCTCCTTCCCCCTGTGCTCACATAATCTACATTTTAATACAGTCAAATTCATAATAAAGCTGCTCTCATGTAAATAATTTTCCTTTTCTTTTGCCAGACAACAGAAGGGATTTGAAAAGTGACTAAAATGCAGCCTGTGAAGACTGTTAACCAGCAGTCACTTCAGAGTCATTTTCTAAGCTGCTTCTCTGAATCACTAAACTACTCATTTTATGACCGCTAGCGTTGTCTCACAAGTTCATCAAACACATGCTTCAATGCGAACTGATCGCTCAGAGACAAAGTTAGAAGTGATAGAAAGCTTTAAACAGTCATTCACGTCTCTGCTACTCGCCGTGGTCCACTGATTTTTTTCAGAGAGGAGAGAGTTTCCTTCCTGACGGAGTCGCGGTCAGCAGAAGCTCAGCTGATTTTAAAGCTACAGAGACTAAAAAACGCTGCTCAGAACAGGACAAAAACCACAGTCCTACACAGTCACGGTGAATGAACTGTCTTTGCAGTAATTTTGAGCTGAAAAATGGAAAAACGCACTTTGGGGAGGTGTGTCATTGCTTTGCTGGAAAGGTGCATAACGTGACCTCTAAGACATCCGTCTACTCTTCTTACCTGCCTTCTATGTTTGTATTGTGACCTGGACAGGCTGCCTGTCTCACTAAAGTGGTGGTTCATGTCACTTTAGTGAGAATCTAGAGGCGTGATCCTTGATTTCAAAGAAAGGTGATGATGCAAATTAAGATGATGCTGATGATAACAGCAACGCGCACACTGTAGGGTTCAAATCCAAACTCAGCTCAAACAGCGTTCACTGATTTTTGCAAAAAAGAATCATAAAATGAGCATCACGTACCTTAAAACTACTAACACCAACTGCCCATCAGTTTTTAAATGTGTTAATTTTGATTTCGTTAATGTAAAAAGATTGAGAAGATTTGTACATCTTGTGTTTCAGTGTGGCTCAAAGACTCAAGTCACAAACAACCCTGAGACCATTTCTTCTAATTAAACCTTCCAAATATGCACGAGAGAGAGAAAGAGAGTGATTGATGACTGGGTCTGAGCATTTAAAGAAAAAGCTTTTGTATCACTACTTCTTTTTTTGAAGCAATCTCCATTTCTTCTAGTCGGGTCCTCATACTGCTCTCGTCTTCTCCTTCTCCTGATCTCCCTCTGTGGCCTAAAGGAGGGTTGACTTGTCCTCTGCCACTCCATAATATTGCTCTCCAACCACCGCTCAACTTTCTTCAGAGAGTGTACCTGTGGAGATGAGTGATGCGGAGAGCTCTGGATTTCTCCATTTCTTGCAGCAGGGAGTTATTTTTCTTCTGCTGCTGTTTCAGGTGGTCATTCCCAAGATGCTCTTTAAGTTCCTGTAGATCATCCTCAAGCCTCCTGTTTTCATTTTCATTCCTTTCGAGCTGGGCAAGAGAAGCGGCCTGTGATGTCTCCATCTCCAGTGTGAGGACAGATTTGACTTCCTGCTACTGGAGCTTTGGACCCTTCAGCAGCTGCTCAGCCTCCTTCAGAGCTGTCACAAGCTTGTTGTTGAAGCAGACAGGAGGCTCTGTAGCTCTTTAACCGCTCCTCGTGTTCAGTCTCTTGCAGAAAATGGATGTGTTTGGTTTCTGGAGGATCCT